TTCTAGTGAATTTCATTTCTTTAATGATGTTCAGGTTCACTTTTTCTCAATAATAATTGCCTTTTACTTTAAAACCTATTTTGTTAAACCATTTTATTTCAGTTTATATTTCTCCTGATATGTATTTTCTTATCTTTTTACTTTCTCTTAAATTAATATTTAATATTTTCAAGTTGTACTTAAACGTTGTTTAAAGGTTAAAATAGTTATAAATGAGTGAAATGGTGAACTTCTGGAATGATTACTCCAGAATCATTATGGTGATTATATCTCCTGTCATCCCTGCCACCAGCCTAGCTCAGAAATTTTTCTGGATAGGAACAATCCCAGATTCTTGAGTTGAACATTGGAAAACTATCATAATTTAGCCAAAACCTGAATTTAAAATTTTAATTTTTTTGTTTGCTAGTTTTTCAAAAAAAAGCTTTTGATATATCATCAAGGATCCTTGGCACTATGCTAGATATTTGAGCACAATTAGTTCAGGTTGACGGTGTCACAGCCATTACAGAGCTGACTGCTTTATTTTCTATATATTTATGGCCAAATAGGGCTACTCCTCTTCCCTTCACATTTCTTCATTTAGTCTCTATGCTATTTTCCCCCACCCCTTACAAACCTCTTCAGTCACCTACTTCATAGAATGTTGGGCTGAAATTGCTCATAGTGAGCCTCTAATATTCTATCTTGAGGGTGGGGAAATGGAGACCATGGCAGGGAAAAAGAATGGCTTCTGCTGATTAGTGCTAGCTTCAAGTTCCACTTTGCCATCATGTACTCTTTCTCCCAAAGCCTGATATCTCCTCCAGACTTCCCTCCTGTTCTGTGTCTACACTCAGCCTACTCTTCACTCTCTAGCTCAGATTATGTCTTGAATAAAGTTTTTTTTTTCCTATTGCCATGATCTAAAGCACTCGCTCCATTCTTTAATCTCATCTAGTGACCATTGCCTATAGTACACAAACTATGCCTTTCTTTACTCTCCTTTGTCACTAACAAGCTTCTATTGTGTAATTGTATGTGGCTTTGTTAACTGTTTTCCAAGGATGATGTAAGCTGCTCAAATTGGGAACAGCCTTCTCACCTCTCCATGTTCATCAGTGTCCTGTAGGCACTAGATCACTATTTACCTTTTCATAGGTTCCTGCCTTGTCTTCTGCTTCTCACAGGGAGCTTTTGGGGAGCAGAGAGAGGGAAAGGCTTGGGTCTGGTTGTATTTTCCTAGCTCCCAGGTTAATAACCTGCACCTAGGAGTTTGTGGCTACAGTAAATATTTGTTAATTTGAGGAGCTAGTGCAATCCATGTCCTTTCTTCCTCCTCCACTTCTGCATATAAACTGCTTTCTTTTCCCAAGGTACCCTCTCTTCATTATGACTGTAGTATTTCACAGAAATTCTGCTCTCTCTATACCAAGAGGACACAAAGCCTTGGAGAAACCACTTCAGGGATGAATATACCCAGTGACACTTGAAATTTTCTGTCTCAAATGTTTTAAAAATTCTCCAAATTATTTATCAAGGATTTTAATTTTTTCATGCTTTACTTTCAATCCCCCATATAAATTGTATCCTTTCCTTTGTTGCTATTGAAGAAATCTCCCCTAGTTCATTTGTGAGTCTGACATGCTTTGCATATAAAATTGAGAGCTGGAGATTTCCAAATAGTAGTCAAAATTAGAACTGTGTTTTACCATTTTCTTCCTTCCTCCTCTTTTGGCTTGAGTCATTTTGCCTTTTCATCCAGCTCTGGCACTACACCAGCCTTTCCAAATGTAGCATCTGAATTATTAATGCTGCTCAGGCCATCAACAATGCTCATGAAGCTTGTGCACAGCTCAGTCTGAAAGGATGCACCAAATCATTAATTGCTGGCTTTCCACTATAAACTCTAGGACCATATCTGTCTGGAGATGTTAATTTACTAAATTATTTCCCTACTGCCAGTTTTTAGATTACTTCAAGCTTGGTTCAATTAAATTTATTTTAACACACATTTGTTAACTACCTACATCGTCCCAGGAGACCAAGTCGGCAGTTGTTTCTCAGCAGATCTCATAAATTAGTGTGGGAGAAACACACAAACAACAAGGCAGGTGGAGGCACAAGTAGTATCAAATACAGAGGCAGAATCACTACCTCAGAGTATGGGTAGAGAAGACTCCATTGAGGAGAAAGAATTTTATCCCATCCCTGAAAAATGAGGACCCAGAGAATGGTGGAGAAGAGTTGGACCAGAGGGCATTCAGAATAAGGGAAGGACATAAACAATGAAGTCCATGTGAGAAAAAGTGAGGAACATTAAACATGAAGCGTAAAGTTACCAGGACACAAGGGACATTTAATAGTGCAACACAGGACGTATCACATTATTCTTTCCACCAAAAAGTGGATTCTCAGCTCAGAGCCATGAAGGGGGTTCCTTTAAATGTAAAAAAGTGACCAGGGTAAATACCTGCTTTCCACTGTGAAAGACAAAACTGGATGTACAAGTAGGAAAACTCAGGAAAGCAAACACTAGGGTAAGTCAGGGCTGAGCCCTCTAAAAGCAGCAAACATCCAGTTGTGGAGATGTTTCTCAGGAGTGGTAGATGATGGACACAAGTCAGTCTTATTTCTGTAAGAGTCTGGGAAAAAAGAGTCTGTAGGCTATCCCTACAGCCATGCAGAGAAAAAAATGACTGGCAACACAAGTATACACTTGAGAATGACTCTAAACTTAGATAACATTTATTACAGGAGACCAAGAAAAAATATTTATATATCTTACAAGAACTATGTAAAATGGAAATGAAAACTCAATGGGGAGCTATGGGGAACAGCAGAACTGGTGATATATGAGGAAAAAGAACCACAGCAGAGCCAGACATATTCTCCCCTTAGAGATACTTGGCTAAGGGCTTGCACCAGTTTTTCCCTGAGGAGTGTTGGGAAATGTTTGTTAAAACATACTCTATGTCTTTGTTTTTCAAAGCTCCTTTTACAGAAAATCCCACTCAAGTTGGATTGACTTCATTTGCTAGAATAACTGAAGAATCCAAAGCCAAGGCCTTGTTGTATCTGGATAGGGCTCTATGATGGGTCAGGAAGTGTCCCCTTCATCTCTTATCTTCCAGTCTCACTTTCCTACAGTCCTTCCACCTCCCCCCAGAACTCCAGGTTGACACCCTCCCTTGTGCACATCTGGAAGAGAGAGAAGGTCTCTATTTCTAGCGATACCAGCATAAGGCCCCGGCATCATTCTCACTGGCCCTGATTGGGATGTGTGCCCACCCTAGGACCAACCACTGTGGTAATTGAAATGGACTGATGGGATAAAGGGGGTTTCTCAAGAGAAATTAGGGTGTTGGGAGGGAAGAGAAATGCTGGATTTCATGAACTCACTTGAGAAATATATACCTACCAATGACATTGTCAGACCCAATTCAAATTTTGCTTTTTCTGGGAAACCTCTGTCTTACTCAGTGTCTGCTTGCCCTATAGCATTTCCCTCTCCATTTATTACAATCCTATTTCCACAAACTCTGTACTCTTTCCCATTTTGACAGGGCACCAAACCCAAGAAGGGTGTACTGAGGTGCAAGTGAACAGGAATGGGGTGCAAACAAACACATTATAGACCTACAGAGACATGGATTATTGGTGGTATCACTGCATCAATTCTTTTTTTTGCTTGAGGTAAAATTGACATGTTAGTTGCAAGTATACAACATAATGATTCAATATTATACATGAATTGATTCTTTTGGGGTAAAGATATAAACACTTCAATTTTTTTTTACAAATATTTGTAAATTAGCTATAATTTATTGCAGGTAATATCATTTAGTAAAATGAGTTCTTGACTCATAGAAGGTGCTCAATGAATAGTTTTTGGATGAATGAGTAAATAGCTGAGAGCAAGCGTCACATAATAATATTAGTTAAGATAATAACTAATATTCACTTATTATCTTCTCAGTGCCAGCTACTATGGAAACAGTTTTTTTCTCACTCATTTGTCACAAAAACTGTAAGATAGCCAGTATTTGCCTTATTTTCCAGGTAGGAAGAACGAGGTTCTGAGAGGCTGCTTGATGTATGTATGATTGATGTTATGCAAGCCCATACCATAAATAGATGAGGGAATTGGGAGGCAAACAAGTTTGTCTGTGTCCAAAGTCAATTCTTTAGTCATAAGCTAATGACAATCAGGTATTTTGAGGTGCAATAACCTTTCCTAAATTCCAGCTTCAGGTAGAACAGTTGAGGACAAATGTGTTCTGGTTGGAGTAGCAGCATGGGGAGAGAGAGAGTGTGTGTATGGCTATGTATGTCTGTGTGTGGTGGGGAGCCAGGGTGGGTTTTGGAGCCCCTATCCCTACAGCCATGCAGAGGTGCTCTGTAGAACAACCAGACCTCTCTGAGACTGCTTGCAAATCATGCCCACCTTCAAGCTGCTGCTGGCCTGATTTGAGGCCAGTCCCTCTGACTGTTAGTCTCCACACCATCCCCAGTTGTTGGTTATTTAGGCAGTTGTGGGTAGCTGTCTGGAAGAAAGAAGCAACACTCACCAATTTCCTGGCTTTCCTAAAGGAAGCCTCACCTGCTCATCTTAGATCTCATAAGCTGGATCTCAGTGCCTCAGTGACTGAGGAAGGATAGTTGCCTCTAGAGCCTGGTGCACACCCACACAGGCTATACCAGGGCATTGGGAGGCTTTACTTGTGGTAGTCCAGATAAGAAACCTAGATTAGCTGGGACCTTGATGCCCTTGGCCTGGTTATCTCTTAATAAGAAATATTTCTAGTTAAAATAATAATAATAATTAAAAAAATAAAAGATGAGTTGCATGTGTGCAGGAAACTGTGCCCATCCTTAAAATACTGCTGGACCTGGAGTTGGGGCACACTGTTAAAAACCTTATCAGTGAAGCCCGCTGACTACATTGCTGATGTGAATTATCAGAACATGTTTGGTATTATAATCCCCACACTCTTCAGAACATATTTCCTCTTTGTCAGGGCAATAACTGAGAAAATGCCTCTCTTAAAAGAAGAGGAACTGCCACAAGGAGTTCATATTTCTACTTAAGGTAAGAGGAACACAATTAATAGAAGACTGTATGTTCAGATGGAAAACTACGTTTTATTCTTACTTCATTCTGTTCAGAGTATACGGAGCAAATTCATTACCAGGCAAACATATTTCTTTCTAGAATTTTTGATGAATTATCAGATAAAGACTGGGGCTCCTAGAAGGGTTCCACACCTCCAGCAGAGGGCTTGGCCTTGGGAAATGGAAATCTACCCTTGGCTCAGTTGTGTGCTTCTTTGTTCAATAAGCTAATGTTTGGGGTGCACACACCAAGTCGGAACTGAGCATAAATTGGAGTGGCGAGTGGTGTCCTGACCACTGGCTGGGACCCCGATGTGAGACAAGGTCAGTCATTTGGAACATCACTGCAGGAGAGCACAAAGGTGCTGGATATAATACCTTAAGTGTTGACAGATGGCGGGGTGGGGAAGACCCACTTCTGGTGCAGAGAGAGGACCTGCTGGTTGCCTAGACTTTGTGGGCTCTACATCAAGGGCAAACTCATTATGTGTCCCCCACTCTTTGACTATCTTTGAGCCTCTCAGGGCTTGGGTGAGGGTAAAGGGAGAGAAAAAATGTCAAGTGACAGCTTTTCTCCTGACTGAGGAGGCTGGAGGCAAGGCTCCAAAAGAGTCCAAGGGATTTACATCAAATAATATTTTCTGGATTATCTTGTGTTTAAATATAACATTTTGTATGAAGTTTTTTTTCACCACATGCTTGTATTTATAAAAAAAATTCTCTTAGAGCTAAGCAAAATTGACATGTCCCAGTAGCTCTGGGCCCATGGTGTATACTCAGAGGAAGGAAAACAACATATGACGAAAGGTGGGCTTATTTGACCCTCTTAGAAAGTTGTGGGATTGGGACACCAGAAGGATGCATTTATCTCAGCCAGAGATGGATGCAACTCATCAAGGGAGCCCTCCTGGTCCATCCTATTCTGTACTGATTCTCACCTGACCTACTGCTCCCATCTTCTGTTTCTGTAAAGCACACTGTACCTGTTTCTGGGAAGACAGCTGGTATTCCCTCCCACAGCCTTTCTGCTTATTATTCCCCACACATGCCCATTCCTACATTACACACTCACAGGATTTCAAACCTCACTTCCTCCCAGAAGCCTTCCTGGACTGTGTCATCCCATGTTGAGCATTGTAGCATTTATTATCCGAAGAATTGAACGTCTTGCTTCATTATACACTGCTTTATTCTATAACCACCCTACTCAGGGCTCACAAGCAGCAAGTGATAGACCACATTCAAATCTGGATGTGCCTGGCTGAGAGCCCATGGCTTATTTTCTGCAGAGAGAAAGCCCCCAGCTGCAACCTTCCTGTCTTACCTGGATATTTGATATCTTCAGGTACCCATGGCAATATTCTGCTATTTGTGAGTCTGGTCCTGAGAGGGTATTCAGAAATACTCAAGGATTCATGGAAAGGGCCTCAGAGATAATCTAATCTGACCTCCTCCTTTCAGAGAGGATACCAAACACCAGAGTGGGCCACAATATGAGTGGTGGCAGAGCTGGGTGACAGCCTTATTCCCTTGCCTGTGTTTTATGTTCAAGTGAGCCACAGAATCTCATGATGCCGTGAGGGCAGGCATGGGGGAGACAAAGAAGGCCAGTATTACAGGCAGCGTGTCTGCCTCCATCCACTACTTTCAGAGAGAGGTAAGGCCTTCCATGCGTTTCGCCTCCTGAGTCCTGCTCTGTGCCCAGACATTGGCTTCAGGTCTTCCAGAAACTCAGTCCTCCCATTAACATGGTTTCTGGGCAGACACTCTTGACTTTACCTGCTCAAAATAACCTAGTTAATTTAGTTCCATTTCCAAGTGCTCTTGAAAAAATAGCATCACTTCTGGTGCACTGCTAATGGAGACATCTGCACACTGATGAGGTCTGGCATATTCCTTCCAGTACCTGTTCCTGCTCCTAGCCTCCGGGTCCCTGCCTTATCCCCTGGGCACCTGGAAGTTGAATCCCCTTTGATTCCCAGTCAGGGGTCAGCCCCTCTCAGGGTCCCCCACGTCCATTCCCTTTTCTTTTCTTCCTCCTGTTCCTTCCAGACTGTCATTCTACCTGGATGTAGGATCATCTCCCAATTGCCGACCTCACTCAGTTCCCCTGAAACATTTCATGTTGTGAAATCTGTGCACCAAAGTGAGGCCAACCATCATAAGACACAATTTTGATTATATCATTTAATCTTCTTTATCAAAAATATTCAGGGGGTGCCTGGGTGGCTCAGTCAGTTAAGCTCGGGTCATGATCCCAGGGTCCTAGGATCGAGTCCTGCGTCTGGCTCCCTGCTCAGCAGAGAACCTGCTTCTCCCTCTCCCTCTGCCCTTCCCCATACTCATGTTCCCCCCCATTCTCTCTCTCAAATAAATAAATAAATAAATAAATAAATAAATAAATAAATAACTTAACAAAGGTATTCAACTATTTCTTGTTGTCTAAACTACGAAGTCCACCCTCTCAGCTTCCACTTCTCATATGTGCAGCATGGTGCAGGTGCAGTTTGGATTCCCACGGCCTGCCACTTGGGCGTCCTCTTGCAGGGTTTGGGTGGGGGCCACAGGCTTTGGGGTAGGTATTCCTGCTTGGCTTCATCCATGCATGTGACCAGTACAGATCCCTTACATCTCCGGACCCTGTCTTCTGAGACACTGCTTTTCTCACACAGTTGGTGGCACTGAAAGTGCCAGCACAGAGCTCTCACACACAGGCTGCTCACCCCATAGCAATGAGGACTCTCACTTCCCAACACAAAGTCTCTCTCTGTGCCCTTCCCCCATCCTCTAACCTCACCTAACCTCTAACCTAACGTCCTAGCTTTGTACTTTTTAGTTTGTTAGGCTGCCTGCCTTAGTCTCCTATCTGAAACCTCCTCAGACACCAGCTTCCATGTCCATGCGTGTGTCCACCCTTGGTCACCCTGGGCCACAGGGGTGATCTGCTATGGTCCAGCAGGCATCACTCTCTGCCTCACCTCAGGGGGTATGCTAGGCTTACAACATCCTCTCTTAGGTTGCAAGTGCTAACATCAACCTTGTCTTATCCCCCAAAGCAGGAGCAGTGCCTCATTCATGAGCAGGGGTAACCATTATCCCCACAGTGTGAGAGCTCTGAAAGGAAAGGCTGCTCTGGTTTACTTATGTCCCAATGTCCAACATGGTGCCTGGAGCACAGAGAATGCTCCCTTGATGCATGGTGAGTGGGAGGCATGTGGGTCACTGGAAGGAGCCTGGGACTTTGCAAACAGTGACTACAAACTCACTCTGTTTCTTCCTAGCTGCGGATCATGACAGGCTGTTAGGCAGCACTCTGTGCCCCATTTGCCACATTTAAATGATAGGGAGCTTTGCTATTCTTTGGGCATCTGGGGGAGGTGGAAAATGACAGGACATATGAGAAGCCCTGAGCTCCTGACAGCAAATCCTTTTCCCTTCAGGTTCTGCAGCTAGGTGGTCATGGCCATATGGGGGTTCATGGAAAGGATTCTGGGACCAGGTCTGGGATATAGAGAAAGCTGGAGTGGTAATATGTGTGCTCAGCACTTGTATGTTCATTTCCCTCTGGAATAACACCTTTGTAACAACACAGAATGGTGATGTTTTGTAGTGCTCCTCCTGGAGAAAGTGAAGGCGAGTCCTACCTAGAAAGGCTCTGTCATTCAGTATTCATTCCTGCTTTGCATCTGAGTCTCCAGGTTTGTGGCCCTGCCTTCCACAATGTCAGAACAAATTGTCCTGTTAACCACTTATGGGGAGGAGGGCCAAGATGGGAACTGGGTAGAGGAGACTGAAAATGAGATAGAAATTATTCACTTGCAACTAGTTGCTTTGGCATTTTGTAGACATAGCCTCGGGCTCATGTCCAGTATTGCAACCCACACCAGTCCATTAAGGAAGGAGATTTTTTTGTGTAGATTATGAAATATTGATTGTTCATCTTCCTTAACATTTTAATTGCATTTCAGAGAACACTGAGCTGCAGTAAATGTAGGGCAGCCTGGTTTTCCTTTGCTCCCAGGGGAACAGAGAATCTGGAGAAGCAAGAATTCAGAAAGCAGCCTTATAAATAAACCAGAGGAATTACAGTGAGGACAGCTATACATGGCCTGATTGGCAGCAACAGTGTAAATCTGAATATGAGGAAAGCTGGTTTCTTGGGTGTAGGAGAAAAAAAAATCAAATCAACTTTCTGGTGTGAAAATTCAAGGCATGTCTGAGCATATATGCTCATTCTTGGCCAACCCAAAGATTTCTGCACTGCAGAATGCTATTCAGCCATTTCCTGCTGCTCTACCTGAGCACAGGGTGGGTGGTAGTGTTATATCCCAGGAGGTAGAGATTGGATAGAACCCTTGAGAACTAGGTCCCAGGATAATGCGGAAGCATACACAGGATTTCTGTACTGTTGGGAGAAATGTGCTGGTGTCTGGGGAAATGGGGTTCACAACCTGTTCATCTGATAGGAAAAAAGCAGAATGCACTATGATCATGGAGACCTGAGGGCTGGGTGCAGACACAGAGCTGGCTATGCCTGCCTCCAGGAGCCCCTTCCATCCTTACACTATGTCAGTACTATCCCCGGGGATCAAAGGTCCTGGCTCAAAAAGGACTGCATTGATCTAGCAAAATGAGACTTGGCTTGTAAATTAAATAAAACTAAGTGAAGCTTTTCCAGAAGCTGACCCAAGACCCCTTGTGTTTAGAATGCTTCCCTAGCCCCTTCCAAGCTCTGACTAAGAGCAGGAATTGCTGACTCCATTCACTCCTCATCTATGATTTTCTGCTTTGTGATTTATTTTGTGCTGGCATCTTAAATGGTTAACTTCTCATGAGTTGCATGTTTCATCTTTCTGTGTGGCAAGTGCCTCAGAGTAGTGACTGCACCATATGCTTCAGAATAAACATTTGATCTCAATTCTGAAATGTGTTCTTCTCCCCGGGCTTTACTTTGTTGATGAAGAAATACCCTAAGAA